CACCAACTGGAAGTGCTACAAGTTGGAGAAAGATTTTTGAAATTAATTAAAGCAATCTATACCCAGCAAAAGGCAAAAGTTAGAATCAATGGAGAGCTGACGAAAGAAATACAAATACAGAAAGGAACAAGACAGGGATGTCCACGCTCTCTATTACTATTCTTACTCTAGAAATATTAAATGAGCAAATTAGAGATAAAAAGGAAATAAAAACACTGAAAGTAAGAGGTCATACTTTTAAGCTCCAAGCTTTTGCAGATGATCTAGTTATTATATTGGAGGACCCAATGGACTCAATTGAAGACCTGATGGAGATGCTGATGAATTTTGGTGATATGGCAGGAATGAAAAGAATCTTAAAAAAAAAACCCAAATGCTTGTTAAAATATGGGAGATCAAGAATGACAGAAATTAATAGAAAGGACTAACTTTCAAGAAGAGAAGAGAGCCAGATGCTTGGGAATCCAATCACAAGGAAAACAAGTACATTATTCAAAGACAATTATATGTTGATTAAAGAGATACAGATTAGCTTGGAGAGATGGGATAAATTACAGCTATTGTTGATGGGAAGAATAGCAACCATCAAAATGAATGTTCCACCTGAAATGTTATTTTTATTTCAGACAATTCCCATAATATTAAAACAGTCATTTTTTCAAGAACTTAACAAGATAATCATGAGATTTGTGCGGCAGGGTAAAAAAACCAAGAATTAAAATCAAAGCAATGCAAGATGCCAAACAAAGAGCAGGTTTTGGTCTCCCAGATTGGGTTTTGTATTATAGAGCTTGTGTATTAGAATGGATAAAGGAATGGATAACCTTAGAAAATGATAGACTACTCAAGTTAGAAGGACATGATTTACAGTTAGGTTGGCATGCTTTTCTATGTTATAAAAAAGATAAAAAGCAGAAAAGTTTCAACTCGCATATGATAAGAAGAGCCTTGCTAGGGACTTGGAAAAAGATCATCAAGAAGATTTACCAAAAAACACCAGTCTGGGTATCACCCACAGAGGCCTTTACACAACCTCATGACAGAAACGAAAATTTTAAGATATCAAGATCTATTAAAAATGATTGTGAGTTAAGGTCCAAAAAAGAGTTAGAAACACAAAACATATCTCTAGACTGGTGGTCCAGAGCATAAGTGGAATCTAGGTATAGAAAAGATAAAATAGAGGGCTTTTACACAGAACAAATGATATTCGATGAACTTCTGCTGGGATCAAATGATAAAGTAATTAAGAAAATGTGTGATTATTTGCTTGAAATTAAAATGCAAGATGAGATGATTAAAGAATGTATGTTTAAATGGGCACAAAATATAGGACATAATATTGATATTGATCAATGGTTGCAAATATGGAAAAATAACATAAAGCTCACAAAATCGGTAAATTTCAAGGAGAACATATATAAGATGTTTTATAGGTGGCATATGACTCCGAAAAAAATGTCAAAGATTTATACAGAGGTGTCAAATGTTTGGAAGTGTGAAGTACAAGAGGGAAGCTTTTACCACATTGGTAGACTTGTAAAGTAACAAATCAGTATTGGATAGCAGTACATACTCTACAAAAATACTGTGTTGTAATGTTCCACTAACCCCAGAATTGTTGTTACTGAGCATTATACCTGATAATATAGATAAGACAAAGAACTACCTAGTTATATATATAGTGACTGCAGCCAGAATTCTTTATGCTAAAAATTGGAAGAAATCAGAGATAACTAAACAAGAGGAACTCATTGAGAAGATATGGGAAGCAGCAGAAATGGATATTCTATCAGAAGTGTTGAAAGACTGTCCAATACAAAAGGCAACTGAATGATGGGATTTATTATATTAATAGCTTGAGTCATCAGATAGTGTTTGAATAACATAGAATTAAACTAAGGTGTAAGTTGAAACCTGAAGGGCAATAAAATTGTAGAAAGGCGAAAAGTCGACTTAATATCGCAACATGAACAGATTGGATGACAGTACATTTTGTATTCTCCTTCCCCCTCTTTCCCCCCCATATCCTCCTCTACCTCATGTACCCCTTACCTTATCCCTAGTTATTAAACATAAAAAATAAAAAAATCCGCTTGCAGATATTCTTGTATTGCAGCTGTGGTCTCCCTCTGGGGCACTTTCCCTGCACTAATTCCCCATACAGGAGATCTTTTGGAATCTGACCGTCAGTCATTCTCATAACATGCCCAACCCAAGGTGGACATTGCTGCTTCAGTAATGTATACATGCTAAAAATTCCA